AGTTTATTTCATTAAGTTTGTTACTAAATGTGTAGCATTTGTCCGTGGGAAGTGTTGGCATCAGTGCAATTGTCCTTTTTTTCTAACTACATAAAATATGTGGCGATTTCTAGTTGAATGTTTTAATCAAGGAGAGGAATATTATTTAAAATTACCCCACCAACATGCTTTTTTTAAAATTTTGCCTTGTTTTCAGGAAAAGAAAAACTTTATTCAATGTCCTCACCCTATTTGCTTCAAACTAAGGGGCAAATACGAGCACTGAGCATTATTTTAACATGCATTGCAACAAATTGGCATCAGGGAATCCAAATCACGATTCTATTCAGCTTGAATTTAGTCAAAAGAGGGCTTTATGAGAGGATTTCTATAGAGGCGAGTCAAAAAATTCAGAATACATTAACAAACTCTCTCTGTGCTCCAGAAAACAAGACTTCAAGTTTGGTTGTGACACCTGTCTGTCCTCAGGTTCACCAGTGCAGCTAACAGCGACATGCTTTCAACCTGCTCCTGAAAGTTTCATGTGTACTAAAGAAAATGTCATTTGATGCTACAAAAAGAAAACAAAAGAACACAAAACACTACAGTTTCCACCTTGGACTCCTTTTCCAGTGCAGTATCAAACTCTTATCTTTATATCTGAGCTCTGTATCCCCGGGTTTACATGGATATTGGAGCCTCACGCTCCAGTTCTGTCTGTTTAATGCACGTTTTGTCCTAAACACTGGAGTTGGGTTAAGAAGAACAACAGAAAGGCAGAAAAAGCTGAATCAACAGTCTGTGTTGGAGGTAGAAAATTTGACACCTGAGAAATAATAAAAAAAAAGCAGTTTTGGAAGTGACTGTAGTTCATATAATTACTGTAAATCTTTTTCCTTTTCTTTCTTTTTTTATAATTAACCAATATAAAGAAAAATGTATGTATGAATAAATATATACCTATATTATTAAGACTTGTGTTTTTATATTTTTGTTCTGGTTGATGGCGGTTTAACACAGTAGATGGCAGCAAAGAACACGCTATGCTAAATCCATCTTGGCTACTTTACTTTTACCCCCACTTTAGAAAGTTGAACTTGGATTGATTCTGATATTTCACTTGATTCAAAATATTTCTAAAGAACTCATTGATTAAAATATAAGTTTGTTTCATTTATTACTCCTGGGGTTTTTTCCTCAGTGGTTTATGTGGGCTAATTAAAGACCCTCATATAAAAACAAACTAAAAAAATAACCAGTTTACTTGTAAACTCCTGTTTTAAGGTCTGATTTGAAAGAGCCAACTGTCCCAGCACATCTCGACCTTCCAAGGAGTTCATTAAAACTGAGCATAAAAGTTTTACCCTGCCTATTTAGTTACATTCAAACATACAAACTGGTATTTGAGTCCGGATTGTTTATATCTATGAAACATGTATAGAGGAGCAGTATAGTGGATTGAATGCAGATCCACACAAATAGAGCTGGGTGATATTATACTATATATTAACTTTTTTTTTTTTTACAATGGAAAAAATCGACATCTAAATGAGTCATTTTTTCTTAAAATAAGTGCATTTTTTTCTTGAATGGAGGAGTTAAGTGGGACACTTCGCCAATGTAAATAAGACGATTTTAATTTAAAATAAAAAAAATTGTATCGTTTTATTTCAAGTTTATATTATCTAATTATATTATTTTAAGAGTAAAAATACTCATTTCATCTACAGATCATAATATTTACCTACTCAAATCAAGGGTAAATGCACCTAATTTAACAATTGTCTACTTATTTCTAGATAATTTTTGCAGTGTAAACATGAAGCCAATGCATTTTCTTTAATGACTCTGGAACCAGTATTTATGAGCTTTGTGTGTCTTTTATTGACACCTCTAAATACACTTGAGGAGAAGATCAGGTGATTGAAAATCAAAGTCTAGCTGTTTTCTTGTGTGCTCGTTTGCAGTTATCTCTGCATGATGTTTCTTTAAAAATAGAGCTATGCTCATATAACAATAGACTTGACTCCAATGTTATGTTTTGAGTCTAAAATTAGATGTAATTTTCTCTTTACACTTAGGCTCATTGAGTCTCTACAACTTAGTTGTTTTGTGAACAGAACCAATAACTTATGATCTATGGTGACAAACGTAATAAATGACACCCAATAATACTAAAGTAGAGGCTCTGATGGTAAGAGCATGACCCTACAGCAAAAGTGCATTATGTAGTGTAGTGGAAAGTCTAACCGATGAGCACTAAAAGTCTTGTCAGCCTTCAGTGCTGTCTGCAGAAAAAAAATAGTAAAAATGATCCAAAAAATGTTATTCCATCTTTTTATCTAGGTGAAAAAAACAAAAAATATCTACATATTGATTGTTGGCTGGAATGAGATCAGATACAGTTAATGTGTGTTTAATTTAACTTCTGATTCAATGGAAAGGACCAACTCCAACTCTATCTAAAAATCTAACCATGAATCTTTGAAACCTTCTTTAGGCGTGTTCATATCTCTAGTGGACATTTGGCGGGGTGGGATACAGGCCGGACAGTTCAGCAATCCATCACAGGGAAAGAGACATGACACATACAGCGACTCATGCACACACTCATACCTACGGGCAAATGAGTAAAGAAGCCAAAGTAACTGAAAAGCACACTTCCAACTGAAGATCATTCAAACTTTAGATAGGAAATCATATATCAATAATCACTGCACCACAAGTCTTGAATAAAAAAAAAAGAGTATTAAACATTTGAAAGAATAAGAAAAATAACAGCATTGTCTAGAATAATTTCCTTTGCATACAAACTGCTAATAACTGCACAGTTTGATGGCTGCAGGTTTGAACAGTATCTCTTGGATTCTGTTTGCTTAGATTATTTTGTCTGTGGTGAAAGCACAGATGAGCAATTGGAGCCAATTTATCTCAGAGGGCCCCCAAAGAGCAGCAGCTCTGGTCCTGCGGCTGCACCATGACGACCGCTGTCACGGCTGGGATCTGTCTTCCGCCGCATGAGGCTCATTTTGTTCCTCTCGTCGTCCTGCATCTCTCCTCTGTGTCTAAATCACTGAGGCTGAAACTGTGTGTTCCACTCCTGTGTTTAAGGTTCATGTTTAGATGGAGTTTTCATTGCACCTGGGGTATAACGTAAAGAGATGAAAGGAAGATGGCTCAGAGGAAGACATTTAAATTCCCTCCCTTATTTAGTTTCTCTCAGCTGCTCTCCTTTCCTGAGTTTGTACACAGATGGTTTGGAGCAGAGCTCTTAGCACACCAACATATTGCGCTTCTTGTTATTTCTATCAACAAAGGCAATGCCATAAAAACAGACTGACAATTTTTAAAAATCGTTCTCAGTGTGCTTCATTAGTCTAAAACGTGTCAGGATGTTGCTTAAATAGAAACATGTCAGGCTCCTTTTATTTCTTACCATTGTGACATTAATAGTAGCTGTAACTCGTCACATGAGTGTGTTTTATAAGAAGTTTTTTTAGACACGTGAATTTGGAGATAGGAGTGACCTAGTTGGAACTATTATAGCGGATGTTATAACCATGTAATGAAGCACAGGCACATGCTGTGTCCACTACCTCAGGATGGTGAAAGATAAATCGGGGAGTTGAATAAAATGTCAAACATTATTCAAGTAATATGGTTATTTTTAATTTACCCTTAGCACAGCAGAAGGGCTGCAAAAAAACTTGATACTTTCCATATCTGTGTTGATACAATGCTATGGAAAAAATATTCCTACAACCAGAAATTTCAGGATTGTGTATAAGAGAAACCTTTACTAATAATGGTTTAAAAGGTTTGCGTGAGATTTTAGTTTATCCCCATGTGTCAACAATAGGTGGTGAGGTTGCTGGAGGACCCAGATGCAGAGATGAGTTCTGAGAGGTTTAATTGCTGACCATAGGTAGCAGAGGCAGAAATCCAACTTAAAATATAAAACAAACCAAAACCATGGAGACATCAAGGGGAAAAACGAGCCTGAGGAGCCATGGGCAGATGAGCTGAGAAGATGAGTACAGCGTTGAGAAGGAACCAGCACTGAGTGACTGCAGAGGTGGAGTATTTAAGGAGAACAAAACAAAGGATGGACTAACGAGCTGAATGGGGAGCAGGTTTGGGTGGGACTGGCAAGAGGGAATCCAAGGGGAAAGAAAACAATCACAAGGGGGCAACAGAGAGTAACCAAAGAATGCTTGAATATCATGGAAAATAAAAACAACTGATAACAGAAAACTGAAAACTCAGAGTCAAAACAAATGAGAACCATAACACCGTGTTACACGGAAGCCTCTGCATAAAGCCTCTTGCCTAGAGAATCCAAGTAATTAGTAAATAGCATATAAGCTTGTTTAAATTCAGGAATAAAGCTTGTAAAAATCCATGGGTTACAGAGAGCATATAAGCATTTAAAGAGCATGGCAGTTAAACAATAAGATCAACCTATAAAAGAACAAATTTCAAAATGTAAGAATGGAATCTCAGAGATCAGCAGCTCAGGTGAAATCAATCTGAATGTATGATGGAAGACTTCAAATAATCCAGAATAAACCACTAGTGACATGAGGATGGCAGGATCCTGATGTAGGAATAATTTTCATCAGCATTTATAGAGAAGCTGCATGATGGGAAAATGGTTTGATCCTGGAGAGAAAGCTGAACGAGTTCAAATAAAACACATTTTACACTTTTCAGATTATACTAATAAAAATTAGCGACAATTGGACGCTTTCAACATAAATCAATTTAGATAGATAAGGCATCCAGAACTAATAATAGACATATTCGGTGAACATAAAAAGAACAGGTCTATTTTAATAGATAATTCTGTTCCTTTATCATTTGAACCAAATGCTATATTTCGCTGCAAACTAAATATATGGGCTGATTTTGCTAAATGAATCCCAAATGAGTTGTTTAAAAAAAATCCTCCAATCGTGCGCCTCAGACGCATGGATAGGCGTGTCTGAAACTGCGCTTAAAATTAAATCTGTGCGTTCATAATGACCAGAGTTTCCAGATACTCTTCACATCTCACAGCTTCCTTCTTTGTGCTTAAATTTGCTTTTAAATAAATTTTCACACCTCAACGTTGATTTGAATCTTTCTGTGGCATCTGGAGGACGGAATTTTTGCCACATTGGAGCTTTGTGCGCGTCAGACGGCGATCCACGGGCCAGTTTGGAGAGGAGAATTCAGCCTTCTGTTGAACGCATGTCCTCACATGGCCTGGAAGCAAATATAGCTCAGTCACTTGCTATAGGACTTGCTGCACCAGTTCTTTTTTTTTTACCCGATCATGGTGTGGAGGAGAGTGACCTCGTAGCAGCAGCAGTGCGCAATCTTCCATCTGACGTGGATCTGCTCTCTGCCGGTATTTCGCAAAGCTGAAAGCATCATTATTTTACCCAGTTTGAGGAGTTGAAAGTTTTCAGTTTTGTATTCTTGTATTCATTGACTCTCATCGACTCAGTGATGATAACTGAGGACAATGAGATGGAGAGCGACGCGCAGCTCCAGCGCTCCCCAAACAACATGCCCATCCAGCCGGTTTCATCCAAGGCAAGTACTTTTGACGTCTCTTGTGTATTTATTTTACTAATTCACAATACAGATTACACATAGATCCTTTTCCAAAGTAAAAATAAGGCTCAGTAAAAACTTTGGAAACGGTTGCCTCCAAAATCCCAGAGAAATTAATTGAATAAATCTGCTTTGTTTTATTGTTGTTTTTAATTTTCATTTCCACCTCTAATATTTTTGGATTACGTAATGGGGTTGACAACATTTCATAAATGCAGTTGTATTCAAATGACTGCGTCACTAGGTGTAATCTCCCACGTAACATCTGATGTCACTTTCCCTCCTGTATGTGCCTCTTCAACACACTGAGACACACACTGACTGGTAAAATAAGAAAAATGGTTCTCACTCAGACGACCAAACAGAAACACATCTGTTGGTTCATGTTTTATTAATTACATGGTGAAGCATTATTTATTAAGTACTCTAGTTGCAAAGATGAATTGGTATTTTACTGTAAATGCTTATGCATTTGCATTATTGTTTGTTTTATTATGATTATTTTCTAATCCACAGTGCTGATCTCAGTGTTACCTCATTTAAAAAAAAAAAACAATATGCAGGGAAATCTTTACAGGTGCAAATTTGGACTTAAACAGGCTAAATAGATTTTTTTTTTCTTTACACAAACTACCTGACAGGAGCCTGACATACTTTAAAGTCTCTGTTTAATGATGCCATTTGGGTTGTTGACTCAACTTTATAAAAAAAGATGTATAGGAAAAGGAGCTCTGAAAGCTTTGACATCGCATGGAACAATAGGTCATTAGTTGATCTTCTTGCACAACTTTCCCTTCAGTGGAGTCTTTGTCTCTACCTCATGCCCACGCACAAACACTGCAGGCTGCACGTTTGAAGCAAAGTGACACTCCTGAGCGACGCAGTCAGATGCTCCACTGCAAGCCTCTGTGCTGCATCTAAATATTTGATGCCCTCCATGAGAAGATGACATTGCTCCCGGCTTACTGTGCTCACTTTCTGTATCTGCTCCATATCCACACTCTTCTGAAGCTGAGACCAAAGAAAATCAGCAGATTCAGCTGCAGGCAGGACCAAAAATGTTCACATCAATAGAAGTCCTGATTTTGGCTTCAACTACATTATATCTTTCATAACAAAATCATTATGAGTTTGCTTGCCCCCACCTGCTCTTTCCGTTGATTAAACACATCCTATTCTAAATTGAAGTGGCTTTTTATAAATTCCCTTTAAGTATATAGTGTGAAATAAGCCTTTACCTGTTAAAGAAGTGTTGTGTTTTTTACCAAACTCACAAATCTTGGATCAACATGCAAATTTTTGCATCAAAAGAAGACATCAAATACAAGAGCAGTTTTTTAATTGAAAATCCCTATCCACTCCAACCTGTGTGAAAAAGTACTCAACCCTTTTTAAAACCACGGATTAACTGCCACTCGACCAGTGTCGGACCTGTAAAATAAAGAAAGGAAAAATGGCTTTGGAGTGGCCTAGTAAAGTTTTCAATCCAACAAACAGCCTGTTTGGTTTAAATGTCTATAAAAGATGATATAAAATTGTCTTTACTATCCATTTTCCATCACGCTTTATCCCTGCTGGGGTCATGTGGGGTGCTGGTGCCTATCTCCAGCTGTCTATGGGCAGGATAAACCCTGGACAGGTTGACTGTCTATCGCGGGGCAACATAGAGAAAAACAAACATTCACACCTAAGTAGAATTTAGAGAAACCAATAAACCTAACAGTTGTGTTTTTAGACTGTGGGAGGAAGCCAGAGTACCTAGAGAGAACATGCAAACTCCATGCAGAAAGACCCTGGGCCAGGAATCAAACCTGGAACCTTCTTGCTACAAGGCAGCAGTGCTACCCACTGTTGCACTGAGCAGCCTTTACCAGTTATTACAAATCTAGCAGCAGTTGCTTCTGGAAGTGCTTTTTTTTTTAAACCTTACTATAAATAGTGACAGCCCACAACAAATGCCATCTGAAGGCACTCACCGATACAAACAGTTCAGTTTCAAATCCATGCATATAAAAGAATATAGTAGTAACCAATCACAATATCTATCGAAACAGGTAATTGCATGGGGTCCTTCACACTAGCATGAATTAATGACTCATTATTGGTGCTTTTTCTGCTAAAAAACAGTTCCACTGCTAAATGGGTCCACCAAAATATGTGGTTCTGATGAGGCTATCTTGACTACAATTTTATGTGGGACAGCATACACAAACATGGTCATTAGCAGCTGTTGGTAGAGTCAACCCCCCCCCAGGTATTTTGTCCCACTACTCATTAGCAAACTGCTCCAGTTGTCTCAGGTTTGAAGGGTTCCTTTCCCAGATGACATGCTTCAGCTCCTTACAAAGAGGCTGAATAGGATCTAGGTCAGGGCTCATAGAGGGACACTTCAAGATGGTCTGATGTTTTCCTCTCAGCCATTTTGGCTGTTTTCAGCTGTTAGTTTTGGGTCATTATCCTGTTGAAGATCCATGACATGCGACTGAGACCAAACTTTCTGACACTAGGCAGAACATTTCTCTCTAGAATCCATTGATAGTCTTCAATTTTTAATTGGCCCCTACAGAGAATCAAGACACTGTGTGCAAGATGAAGCAAAGCAGGCCCAGAACATGACGGAGCCTCCTCCTTGTTTCACAGTTTGCTTATCTTAATATGCTTCATTTTCGTAGTGCTGATGTGCTTTGGCAAAAACGTTCAAAATTTGTCTCATCTGTCCATAGGACATTCTCCCAGATGCTCTGTGGCTTGCTAACATGTAGTTTGGCAAATTCCATTCTGGCTTTTTCATGATTTAATTTAATGTTGTTATCCTTTGTCATCCCTCATTAAGTCCACTTTGTCCCTAACAACAACATGTGATCTGACAGTGAAGTTACTTGAGCTTGAAGTTCACCTTTAATCTCTTTATAGGTTTCTTCTGGGCTCTTTTTTTTTCTTTTTTCTTTTGAACCATTCATATCCTTCGCGTTGCTTAGGTTTCCTCCTGTGGCCAAGTTTAGGGAGGTTGACTACTGTGGTGTAGCCAGAACAGTTTTTTAGGGGTGACCAGACAGAGACAAATATGCAAAGAAGCATGGCTATTTCTGGGGAAAAAAGTAATAAATTTGATAAATAATTGTTGTGCATAATATTAATATTTACATATACCTACATTCAATGGATTTATTTGTTATTCATCTCTAATTACACTGAAGACTCTGAGATGACTGTAGATACATAACTCTTTCTGCTCTTCCATAAAACTACTTCTAAATAGAATAGGAATTTAATACTTCATCATCTTTCATGTAAGTATATTGATGTGAGGGATTAACTAGTGTATTATTATTATCTCAGTTTATTGTTGATATACAAGTAATGAAAATGTAAAATTAGTTTTAGAGCGGAACTGCTTATGAATTATGACCACATGGGATCACCTGGCCCCCCTTTTACCTCCCATAGATCTAAGATTTGTGAATAATAAATGGAACTGTTGTCACAGGAACATCAAGCTGATTGGGTATGGTCCTATTGCCTTTGCCTCTAACATGCTCGCCTATCATTTACTTTCTAATCTCCTGAGACAACTAATTCCTTCACCTCCAAATCATATTTAATCTCAGCCCCAAAGTAATATGCTTTGTTGAGGTACCAGAGTATTAATTTTACCCGTGTCAGGAACACCTAATCAGGAGCATTTCTGAAGTATAAATTCCATCCACAGGAGGTAATTTTGAAGTAATCTAATCAGACTCAGACATGTGTCAATGTCTTAATTGGACAGGAAGAGACTGGCAGAGAGAGGCTCTGGTAGCAGATACTCTTAGAATTCCACCAGCAGCAAATTCCAGCATAGATGGGTATATAAAATCATGGATGGCTTTAAATACTGCCAAAATGATTAGGAGGAAAGGATATATGGACTGTCTCTGCAGCATCCAACAATGTGCGATGGCCTACTTCCAACATTGGCAGGAACCTGAGTAAAACATCCAGTGATAAGTTGTGTTGTGAGTTGGTTTTTGAGAGTATTTGAATCCGTTTGAGTGTTTGATGAGAGACTTGTGAACAGGTAAGCCACTTTCTCCTTGTAGATAATGCAGCTCAGAGTTTTTAAGTACTGTCAGCAGCAACGGCAAACATATCTACATTATGCTGGGGATCGTCGGCCCATTTTTCAGTTTGTCTGCCAAATGGTGATGATTTCACCAAATTATCCATGTTCACACTCTGGAATATTCATCCAGCTCTTAAAATCCACACTTAGCATTTCAGCACAGCTGGCTCAGTGATAAAATATGGAGGACATTCACACTGTGGGGAAAATTGCTATTTATTTCAGCTTGAATTTTAAATGACACATGATTGTAATTAAAGTAAGCTATCTTTATTTGCATCTAAAGTATTTAAAGGACAACTTCATCCACAAAAAAGCTTGAGAAATATATAATGCGTTTGTAAATAGAGATGTTAGTTACGCCACATTAGTCTCCCCAAAAATGTGATCTCTACCAACAGTGAACTCTACCCTTACTGGGACACTTTTTGTTATAGTAGTATAATCTGACAGACACAATTTTAAACAAACCCTACCTTTAACCAGAGTTTGTTTATTTAGTGGGGGGAAACATGACATGTTTGGAATAAATTCATATTGACCAAACCTGTCACAGCTCAGAACAGAGGGCCCAATTTTCAAGTCAAGACTGACAGTGGGATTACCCAAAACATTTATTAAAAACATCGGATCTGCAGTTACAGGAGCTAGTGTCATGAAGCGAGGACAGATGGACCCAGTATTCAAGGAGAGACAGTCAGTAGGCAAGTTCAAAACGTTTATTAAATGAAAAACTAAAAGGGGAGCTGCTAGGATCTGTGGCATGCGGCGACTGCAGGTGGGGGGGCGGGGCACCGCCCTATCACAGACACTCTGTTAGTGGGAGAAACACAGGTAAGTGACCACGATCATCTGACAGAAGATGATTATCTGAGTT